TAATCTGGGAAATTTAGGTGGATGCATTTCGAATGCCAACCTATACCTATCCTCAGGTGACAGCCCTGAAGGAAGTTTTAGCTTAGAAACTTTTTGTTTAAATTTTTCCTTCAAGGTCTCAGCTGCTTGATGCACAGTGGAGTCCAAGCGCGTGGGGTCGTAAGTAGTTTCAAAATAATTTTGAAAAGCTTTTATCTCTTTGGCATGAGTAAACATACCTTTCTTTGCTGGTACCTGCACATCGAAGGCATCAATTAGTTTCTGTCGAATTGTAAGTGTATCGAACATACAAGTTTGATAAAACTTAATCCACCACTCCAAAAATCCTTTAGCCGCGAGATGGGTAGGTTCGAAGGCTATCAGCTCAAATTGGGCAAAGCCTTGATATTTTTCTTGCTGGATCTTGGCTTCCCTTGCCTTGAAAGTTCGACCAGATGTGATGGCGCTCTCAGTTTGGAACAAAGGTTCAGGAATCAGTTGGCATAAGCCAAACTGCCTCGAAACGAAGTTTGGTTGGTAGGCAAAGAGAAGAATTTGGTTCTTAGCTGGGGTTATCCTTGAAGAGATGAGTCTAGGAAGCAAGAAAGCTCTCCATACATCTTGGATCTCCTTGCTCTTGATGGCTTCTGAGAGAGCCATGGTGAACCAAGAAGGTCCATGAGCCCTCAAAGCAAAAGGCGCCATGCTCTCTTCGAACTTATGCCTTTTTGAGAGTATCATGATGTACTTCGAGAATTGAACCTTGAAGTCATCCTTGTCATCATTAGGAGTTAGTCTTCGAAGCCTAGTACCTTCGACTATCCTATCACTTATTTCCGAATCTTGCTCATCTATGGTGTTGGCGGTTGATAAAGAAGGTTCGAACATGGCATTTAGCCATAGTTGAAGTAACCAAAATGGGCCAGCTAATAGAATGTTTTTGGAGGTGTGGGATTTGAGGCTCGAAACAGCTGACCTCAGGCTCTCATAGAGGTCAACTAAGAGTAATTCACTTAGGCACACTTTGCGATTTTCGTGTAAATCCCTAGCTAGAGGAATGAACCTACTAGCTACCTGCAGGGATCTACTGCAGAAAACGTACCTAGACAGCCATAGGGTCAAGAAAGCAATGTGCTCTATGTCAGACACATTGTCCCCTTCAGCATGATAATGGCTGATAAATTTGGAAAAGCTGGCTAACTTGACTTCGAAGTCAATTATGCTTGAGTGCTCTTCATTGTCAGGAACATAAGTTTCTTCCACTGGCGACAACCCAGTAATGGCCGCTATATCGAAGAAGGTTGGGGTAATCATTCCACCTGGGAGATGGACAGTGTTGTAGGTACTATCCCAGAAATAAAGGGATGCAAACAGCAGAGGATGGCTATAGGTAAATCCAGGTTTCGATAGCTTAATGAGGTTATAAATGCCTAATTCTTCCCATTGCTGGGATTTTTTGGCTTCTACTTTCGTGAACCAATTTTGATAAGCAATATCAGAAGTAGGGCAAGATCGAAATGGCTTAAAATTGCTTTTTACATAATCCAAAACAAATGGGTCCTTGGGAGGAACAGTTGGGGTTTCTACGGTATTCGAACTAAGAGATTCTACTGCCTTAGGGGCATCCATTTTGTTGAATAAGGGTTTGAAGCTATAACATACGGGAAAAATTGTCCTGGTGTCCTTTAGTATTTCAAAAACTGTAAGAGGGCCATTTAAGGCTAACCTCTTACCAGCAACATGGGTAGGGATGAGTACCTGTGATGCGTACAACATTTCTTTTTCTTTGGAAATCATTTGAGGAGCAAGAGCAGATTGGCCTTGAATGGTGACGATTTTACTCTCCATGGTTGCTCCTGTAGTTTTTCCTTTCTTCTTGGAGACTTTCTTGAGTTGGGATGAGGTGGAAGAAGACATTTTTGTTGTTTGAGAGCTTAGATTGTTTTATGAGAGAAGAAGAGTAAAAATCCAGAGTATGAAAGATTTAGAGTGTAAAAAGAAAGAGAAAGATTAAGTTGATGTTTTATAATGAGAAGATTAAGCATCCACCGAGTAAAAGTGTGATACGTGGAGATCATGGGTTGGTGTGATGAAGAGGTGGCGAGAAGTTGATATAGGTAATAGGCGTGATTTAAAAATAATCATTGCTCATAACTGCACCACGCTGTGAAGTGACTCTGGGCGGTTAAGGAACCCAAAAGGTGCTATGATTGATGTGACTGGAGTCAAATGCATTAAATGTTATGATGATGCGAAAATCCTATCAAAATATTGTATAAATGTTTAAAATAGGTATTTCTCAAAGAGATCGAAATACATATTTTAAAGGGGCAATTTGTTGGCTGAAGATTTTGAAATGTTATTTAGAATTCAAAAGAGTTAAAAGTTCTGATCGAAATGGAATTAAACGCCATATTTCGAAGTTGCAGAAGCAGTATTTCGAATAAGTGTGTCAAAGCTTGAAGCTTCGAACGGTGATTTTGGGAACATATCCAAAGGGGTCTCGAAACAACAGCGATGCTAGGTTTGGGAAGAGCGTTCGAAACGGAGAAACACTAAAGCATTTAAAATTCAAATGGAAGCGGGACTTTCAAAGTTTGAAAGTTATGTGTTGGAGCATTTTGGGGACACGTGGAAAGATGAAAGAAGCATTGTCTTGCATGTTCGAAACGTGGCATGATCCTATAGCGAGACCGTTAGGGTCGAATTAGTATAAATAGAAGTCTTAGTATTAGGATTTCAGTGTGTCATATCTGTTATACAAAATACTCAATAACATTCAAACTACCACATGGCAAGGGAAACGAATGCAAGAGAAATGTATGTATGATAGCACCATGTATTTCTAACTTAATGAAAGCCTTTTTACCATTTCCAGTACTTTCCTCTTTTCTTTTTGTCGAATAACATTTGCAAGTTTCTTTATTTACTTTCTTTTCATTTCAAAGTCTTTTCCTCAAAGTTTTACGTTTTACTGCTTTCTTTATATTTCGAACACTTTATATTTCAGAGAACTGTTACACTTTCAATACCTTTACTTTCAAGTATTGTTTTTCAAGCGCATACTTTTACTTAAAATCATTTATAGATTTCTTGCATTAAACGCTTTCCTCACATTTTAAACTTCTACATTCCAGAAACCTTTTATGTTAAATGTTTTGCAAATCGAAACCATTTACTTCATTTTTCATACAGTTTTATATGTCTCTTCAATCAGCATTACAATTAGCATTTATTCGTATAACTTAGTTTTCATATACATTTTGGCCACATTTTTGAACTCTTAGAGAGAGGGATCGAAATAAACCAAACACTTGTACAATAGCAACCATGAATAATTGTTCGATTGTGAGAGTAACCTTAATATCCAAGGAGTCCTAGGATCAATCTAGTCGATCCTGTGAGTTACCAGAGAGATTGAATAGCGTTAATAAAGATTATTCGATAGTTTGGAAGACTAGCGGTTGTTTACCAGAAATCACTGGAAACAGCGACCTCATGATAAAGCCTTACATACGGGTAAATTTATGTTGTTTTATTCCCGAAGGCGGGGTAAACGCTTGGCATCAAAGCAACGCCTCATAAACGGGCACGTCAACAAAATATATCGGGGAAACTCCTCGCGTCCTATGGATATATATATTCCTGGCGGGCACCAAACCAACAATATCAGAACCAAAGCCGATCAATGGACCACCCACTGATCTGGTCGGCCATGCTGCATGCATTTTTTCTAAATCCTCGACACAAGTCAACGAGTTGTCCCCAACGGAGTTGGGAAATTTCCCCTTTCGAGCGATGTTTCCCCGATAGTGGAGTTGAACTTAAGTCATCACCTTTTCACCTAAGGGAAATAACTTGGGGGGCTCTTGTTCTGGACTAGGCCGACACTTACTCCACCGTTGGGGAGGCCCAATTCAGCGTCTTTACCAAAGGTCCAAAAGCATGCAACCCAATCTAAGGACCATTGGGCATTTCTCCACGTGCCCGCTGGGAGAACGTAGCTCACGTGTCGATATCATCATCATCATCCTGCCCCTCCGAGAATAACTGGTTCAACTTCTGCTTTTTCATGACAGTTTGACCAGAGAGGAGGTCATGTGCTTAACTCCATACACACGTAAACCCTGACGGTCTTCGCTGTTGGGCTTCATCGTGGTCCATCATTGAAGACCTTGACCCAACGCTGGAGACTATAAATATCGAGGATCATGTGTTCAATACTCACTAATATTCTCATACTTGTTAGCACTTGCTCTGAACCTCATTTTGACATCGGAATGTCTTGCAGATACCCTCACTATTGCTCGACCAAAAACTTGAAAGTTTTAACAATTCTTTCTAATCAGATACGATCAGAAGCTACTCGTGTATTGTTTTTATGTTTAGTGCCCACGTGGGGCTTCGGTAAAATTTTCTTGGGCACACAAATCATAGGGGATTCCCATCGAAACCATGGTCTTACCATGACAAAATTAACCCATCTACCCTATGATTCAATCTCTAAACGATGGACATTGGTTCTGGGTTTGATGATCATGAATCAGATCTGCCGGTGTCCACCTAGACTAATTTGGTGACTCCACCTTCCGTCAAGAGCAAAACTGGCGAGTTGACTCGGCGAATCCAAGAACTCGCCGCATCAATCTTAATTTGATTCATCATATGGCACTCTTCAGTCAAGCCGATTCCCACTCCGACTTCTCTAGTAAACGAGACACTCAATCAAAGTTTTGGTGCCAGTTTTCGAATTATAACGAGGTCTTTCGGATGCCTGAATATTATGAGATGTTCCGATTGGGTTCACAATATCTATTATGATAGGGGTTAAGCTGGGTACCCGCTGTTGCCAATCGGCTTACTCCAGAATGACTTTTAACATGTCTGCATTTCAATGAATGCTAGTGATTCAATGAGGATTATGAGATAATCTCCGATGTCGGCATTTGAATTCATATAAGTTTCTATTTCATATAATTTACTTGATTATGAATTCCCTATTGGGTTTGCTGCTTTAAGACATGTCTGAGCTTGCACCCCAGGTGCTTGAGGAAAGGCAAGAATAATAATGTATCTCTCTATTGCGTTTCAGCCTGTTACTGTTGGAATTACAGAACATTACGCCAAGAGATTGAACGGTCTTACAATGAATTTGATGATCGATTAGCATTGGGGCGAAATAACATCTCCAATTCATGTTTTGATGCAGCCACGATAAGACCCTCAGGGCACATGACAATTTGAATCATGTGGGGCTAATATGGACCTCTGATGTGGAAGTCGGCTTCATTACAGATCAATGAGGTGAGGCCAATATTCGGACAGTATGTTCTGCCTAACGATGTCTCCACCACGCACCTATTGTTCCCAGTCAGCAAAAGCTGTCGCGTGACCAGTTCTGAGTGCCGACACATTTACACAAAACCTGATCCAGTAAGAGCAATGTTATCGGTCCTGTTTCTGCGAAGTTGCACGGATTCTACCACGATTCAGTGAAGGATCACATTGCCAACACCAACGTCAAAGATAAGCTATTTTACATGTTCTATTGATCAATCATGCTCGACTGTTAATTAGTTATAATGATTACGATTATGATTATCACAAAATTTCATGATTTATAGATTGGTTGGCATTCATCATTGGTAAATTAATCCATGTTGTGATCTGTACGACTCGCCTGATACATAGGGGTGTGCAAAAAAACCAATAACCATAAACCAAATTTGTATCCATATTAATCCATATCTCAAAATCCAATACAAAGTTATATTTTAAAACTGGTGGTCCATTTATCAAAACCAAAAAAAAACTGGAAACCGTTAATCAATTTGGATCAGTCTATTGGGTACCACATTTGAAACACTCTCAAAACTCTCTTTTACTGACTGCAACAATCTTCAACTCTAACGGCCGCTGCTTATTCCTCTGCCGCTACCGCCTATTCCTCTGTCGTCACCGCCATAAACGTTTTGTTTGCAGTCACAAACGTCAACTCTAAATCGTCAACTCTACATTCAATTCCCTTGGGTAATTCCTTTTCTTCTTCTCAACAATGGCTTCATGGGTAGCGCTCACTATGATCCTTTTTTGATTACCCACTTCTTAAAATCAGTTTTGTTTGTGTTATTGAATCTTGTAAGGGTTAATAGGTTCAGTTTGTTTCACACTTTCTTGTATGCACGCAACCTGTTTGATAAAATGTCTATTTGAGTTTGTTTATATTGTCATATTAATATAGCTGAATTCAATGTCTATAGGAACTAAGCAGTCAACTGGAAACTTGAAGCTGGAGGCACGTTCTCTACAACGCTCTCAGAGGTACTCATGTAGAGATAATTACATGATTATAGAATGCTGGTATGTTTAAGTTGCAAATGATATGGACCTCCAGTTTTTTAATTTTCCACAAACTTAGAAAGTACATTCAATAATTCAATTGTGTTGTCTTCTTTAAGAAAAATGGAAACAAAAAAGATTGCTTTCTTTCAATTCTGTTTGTCCCTCTATCATATATATGGTATTCATAAAAAATATTCAATTTCCTTTACAAATCATAAAACCTTATTAATCTAATCCTCACATTATCAATATTCTAAAATATTCTATAATTATCATTTTTTTTCTGGTAAAAATGACAACAATTTAGTAAAACTACTCTCAGCTCAGCTTAGATTTTGCAATAACCAATAGCACAGTCATGTAGAAGGAAAGAAACAATAAGCAAATTAGACATAAACCTACTAAAAGATCCAACACAAAAATTTATACATTATTTTCAGCAAAATGTGCACAAGTTACTGATGCCATATCAATTCCAGTGGTCTTGTGATTCTCTGTTTTTTTTTTTATCAAACTCAAAACAGGTAGCTACATGCACTAGTTGAGAAAAACTCTGTCGAAAATGATGTGAAAGCAGCACTGCTAATTCTAAAATATTCTATAATTTTGTGAATGTAAACCTTGCATTAATTAGGTGACTTGAGAGGGCATAAACATGAAAAGAATTTACCATGAAGAGACAATGATAGCTAGAAAATATCATTTATTTTCATTATTTATGGTTCCTATTGTGTAGTTGAGAAGAAATGAAACCAATTGATATGAGAAAGAGAAATTGTTTATAAGAAAAGATGAATCCAAACCAACATAAAATTTTAATTTAAGTGATTATTTAATTTATGTAAGAAAAGATGAATAAAAAATGAAAGAGAAGAAAAAGGAAGAAACATGATAATAAATAAAGTGGATATTGGTTTTTGTGTTTGTTGTATGAAAGGAAGAGAATTAAAGAAAAACAAAACACAAAACAATATAAGTTTTAACTGGTCCCTTATACTATTTCATAAATCTTTGTTACTACTTTCTTATCTTGTTACTATTTTTTATCTGCATCATCTCAAATTCAGTTGGTCTTTCTGTTTCCATCATCTCAAATTTGCCAAGTCCTTGTTAAAAAATTACAAAATGCTGGTGTCTGATCTACATAGCAATAATATATGAGGGAGACTATATAACCCTGAAACTTTGATCCTTTTGCAAAATTGAAATGAATTTAAATTCTTCTTCGTTCATGGCATCAATGCAAAATGGTCAAAGTTCAAGATGGTTGTATGGATTTCTCCCTTATTTGATTTGTAGATTGATGCTTCTTACTATTTTGATTTTGTTTGTGTTTATTTATATACCTCTTCACCTAATAGTTTGGTTGAAGTGTTGAACTTTCATGTCATCATGAAATACGCCCCTTAAGATGTTGCCATTTGCTTATGTTTTTAACTAAGATAAGGCTCCTAATACCTCTTAATTATGGTACAGTTTTTGAAATTCCGCCCCTTAAGATGTTGCCATTTTTTAACCAGTGTGTCTTGCTAAGAGATGCTTATCTGCATCACTTGGGTACTTGAGAAAGAGACCATAAAATGACATCACACACTCTTTCCTTTAATTGTATAAACACCATATTCACATTTCTCTAATGTTACTACCAATATCAATTATATCATATCAATGATATCATAGCCTTTCTTTCTGTCTGTCTCCTTGGCGTGACAATCTATGAATTTTTCAATTTTATTTACCATCAATTTATTGCTGTTAAAACAGGTGGAGATTGATTTCTTCATGCAGTGTCTGCAATGTTAGTTAATGACTTATATTATGGCTTTTTGAATCTTTCTTTAGGTGGGGCTTTTTGCTCTGTGGTTCCTTTTTTTGAATCAAGATGACTAATGTTAGTTACTTGCCAATGTATGCAACGTCCGAGAATACGGTTTCAACCCCTCCACCTACCGTCTCTAATGAAATGCCACCTCCTCACACTAAGAAGCGAAAGAACCGTTCAGAGGCTTGGAATCATTTCATTATATCGTCAGAAGAAGAACAAAAAGCTTCGTGCAAGTACTGTGACACAAAAATTAAGTATAATAATGGAACTAGTTCTATGCATGCTCATTTATCAAGATGCCTTGTTTACAAGAGACAAAGGACATCATCTTCTATGACAAGTGCTGAAGAACATGTTGGCTCTCCTTTAATTGTCAAGTTTGACCAAGAAGCTATTCGAAGAGCAATGGTTAAGATGTTCATTAACATGGAGATTCCTTTTCGGAAGGTTGAACATGAGTCTTTTCATGAATTTATGAGTCTCGCTTCACCAAGATTTCAGATTTGTTCGCGCACAACATTGGCACGCGATGTCTTGAAACTATGGAACACGGAAAAAATGATTTTGAAAAACTTTCTCTCTCTGAATTGTCAAAGAGTTTGTCTCACCACTGATATGTGGACTTCTTGTCAAAAGTTGAGCTATATGTGTGTGACGGCCCATTTCATTGACAATAATTGGAACTTACAGAAGAAGATCTTAACTTTTTGTCAAGTCACAAGTCATACAGGGGATGCTATTTGTGAAACAATAGAGATATGTTTGAACAATTGGGGTTTAAACCGTGTGCTTAGTTTGACGGTTGATAATGCTTCATCTAATGATGTTGGGGTTGAACGTCTCAAGAGAAGGCTCTTGTCTAAGAATAGTTTAGTTATGAGTGGAAACCATTTTCATATGAGGTGTTGCGCACACATATTGAATTTAATTGTGAAAGAAGGTTTGAAAGACATTGATGATTCTGTTTATAGAGTTCGTCATGCTGTTTGGTATGCTAGATCTTCTCCCGCGAGGCTCGCTAAATTCAAGGCATGTATTGATGAGGAGAGCATGGACTATAAAGGTTTAGTTTCTCTAGATGTTGAGACTCGTTGGAATTCAACTTACTTGATGTTAGTATCTGCATCAAAACATGAAAGAACCTTTGAAGAATTCGGTTTTCGAAATAAAAGGTATGTGAATTAATTTTGCAGTCATATACAACTAGTTAGTTATTCTATTATGATAGTTATAAAGGTGATAAAAACTTTATATATTAATAGAAACTAACACAATAACACTTTATTGTTGTTGCCGCGACTATTCTAAAATTATGCAAGTACATTGTCATAAGTTATGTGAATTAATTGATGTTGAACATTTTATGTTGTGCTAGGTATGTGAATGAGTTGACAAAAAAGGGAAAAGGTGTCCCGATGAAAGACGATTGGAAGCATATCAACTTAATCATTCCATTCTTGAAGTTGTTTTATGATGCCACTGTACATATATCAGGGTCTTCTTATTTGACAAGCAATATTTATATGTTTGAGGTCTTGGGTATTGGAAAGAGCATTGTGGATATGTGTGCGTGTGACGATGAACATCTACGTTCAGCATCTCAAAAGATGAAAAAGAAGTATGATAAGTATTGGGGATCTCATGAGAAGCTTAACATGATGTTGTTGATTGCTCTAGTTTTTGACCCTAGACGCAAGGTTAGATTGGTTGATTGGATGGTACGACGATATTATAATAAGGTTGATGCTGATGCCTTGAAAGAAACCTTAGAGTCTTGCTTGAAATCTATTTATGAGGAATATTGTACTGGGTTCATGCCTCCTCAAGATAATCCACATGAGTCGCAAGTTTTTGGTAATGTTAGTCATCCATACGGAACTGCTGAGTTTTATCTTTCAGAAGGGTGTGACAATGCAGATAATGAGTTAACCACTTATCTTGGAGAGAAGTTAGAGCATAACATGGAGATAAATGTTCTCGAGTGGTGGAAAGTAAATTCTGGTCGTTATCCCATCCTTGCAAACATTGCAAGAGACGTGCTTGCTATACCAATAAGCACAGTGGCGTCTGAATCTGCATTTAGCACAGGAGAAAGGGTGCTTGATCCATATCGCAGCTCATTAACACCAACAACTGTCGAAGCACTGATATGCACCCAGGATTGGCTCAAAGGAACATCTTCATCATTGATTACAAATAAAGATTTTGATATTCTTGAGAGATTGGAGCAAGGTATGATAACTAAGTATATTTGCTAATGTATTATTATTTATTATACTTGAGGCATAATGAAATGTATTTATATATTTTGTAGAATTACTTTATACAAAAGATGGTGCTAGTTGTTCAACCTCTTCAACCTCTGTTGCGCTCGAAGAGGACTTAACGGTAAAGAATTCTAAAGTTTTATATATGCATTTTTTTCCATTCTTGAGCTACAATTTCACTTGTGTCAAAGAATTCACCAACTATTTCACTTGTGTCAAATAATAAATTGTGGCTCTGTTGCAGACTTGATGGAAGTGTTCAGACAATTGGGTTTTTGTCATCAGAGGGGAGAGTTCTGGTGGAAGTATAGGAATGAAATGTCTTCCAGAAAATTGTGTTGTTAAAGACAATCTTGAGAATCTGGCTCTTGATACCCCTATAAATTTACAATGTAACTTTAAGATTTTAAATCTTGTTAGCTTTGTGAATTAGTGAAGGATGTTGCACATTCCCTATATAATCAACAAGTATTGTATCAAAGAATTCACCAACTATTTCATTTGTGTCAAATAATGAATTGTGGCTCTGCTACCATAATTTTTGAGAAATTACTTTACTATATTTTAAGGTAAAATCACATATCATATGTTTTAAAATTGTCAATGACCATAAATTTTGAGAAATGACCAATTTTTTTTTTAAATTAGTGTTTTTAACATAAAATAATTTTTTAATACTGGTTTTTTTAAAACTAGTTTTGAAATCGATTTCTTAAGAAAATATTGTTTAATTTAGGTTAGTAATTAAGTTGATAGAAAATATGTTCAATTAAATTCACTTAGTTAGTAGATGTTCAAAGATATCAAATATTAGAACATATATTTGAAAGATAGATACATGAAAGAGATAAA